ACAGCCCATTGTGATGGCATCCAACTATATAAGCATAAAAGCCACCATTTAGAAAAAGCTGCTGTAGGGACTGTGTAGTTTAAAACCATTTTGGTAACAGAATTAATTTCTTATTCCACATCTGTGAAGAAAAATTTTTTTTTTTTTAATTCTTTGAGTCTTAACACTGACAAGTTACCAGTTAGACACAGTAAAATCCAAAGATTTTGTACAAACCGTCACACACTATAATTTCTCAATCTGTATTTTAATGATAGGGAAAATAGAACACTGTGGATTACTTTTCTGCAAATTACCATGTACAGAAATTATGATGTTATGTCACATAGCGTGCTGCAATCATTAGAGCTTTTTTTATGTTTGATTATTACGGATACTTCATAAATACTCTAGTACACAAATACACCAGAGTACATCCGACAAAAATAAGCCCTAATTGCAGAAGGCTCTTGCTTCAGCCTTTCAACAGCTAAATACCAAATGCATTCATCCACATTCAGTGATTATTTTGAAGACATTCACATTTTCATTCATGATTTGAACCACTCTGAGCACTGCATAGTGCAGCTTGATTCAGAGAGAGGATGTCTGTCTCTGCATTCGTCTTGATTGTAACTACTGAACCTAATGTGGAATTTTCAAGTTCAACTGCAAGGCTAGGATAATTATCAGTGAGGATATTAAAAGTCAATCTGGTTTGATTTTGAGTGGGTTTTTTCCAAGACATTATTAATGCAACTGTAGTGGTTCATATTTACATTCATAATTCTGATCCCTGCAACACTTTCCTTCCACTTAACAATACTGCGTAAGTGTTATGTTCTGCAGCGTCAAGTAACACACCATTCTCCTGTTACTACCCGTCTATAGATTGCTTTATTTTCTCCTATTAAGGTGTGAATTAGCTCTTACAAATTTATGTGCATCTTTTTCCATTTGCACAAATAGTAGAAAATCCTGGTTTAAGCGTACTTCTTACCTTTATAGCCAGTGTGATATCAGCGTATGCACAAAATCCTCCACCTTTGTCACTCGAGCAGTGATGAAAACCACCCCCTAAACATAAAAACGTTGAAGAGGTAAAAAGCTAGATACTAAGGAATATAGATGGTCTTTGCCAAGAGACAGAGATCACTTATATGTCAGGCATTTTTTTCCTTTAGCAAATACCACGCCTAAAGCTATTAAACTCTTACCTAGCAACACACATCATCTCAGAGAGTTTCTGTACATGTGTGGCCTATCAGAGCATCAAAGGATCTGCAGGTGCCCAGATTAAAGGGAATTGTCCCTTTCATCTAGCAACCACCCTAACCACCGAGAACTGTACACATGTAGCACATGGTGACAAAGCACGCTGCTCTGAAAGCGCAGCTCCCCCAGGCGTGCTGGCACTGCATAATTAATATTATGGAGCAGGTGGAAAGTTCTTTTCTATGCTGAACACCAGGCCAAAAAAAATACCAAACGAAGAACTATGGTGTCGCTATTATTCGCACATGCCATTGTCCTTTGCAAACGCTGAGACCAGAAGAAGCTTTAACAACTCCTCTTTAAACACACACACACACTCTTTACATGAAAAAAGTACTTAGACCTCCCATCCCCAAACACTTTTTTATTTTTAAATATAATAAAGCAGAACTGTTTACTGAGAAGCCCACTGTAAACATCTAAGCAAGAAAGTTAAAAAGGTCACTTTATATATCAGTATATATGACAGGCTTTGGGGTTTGTTTTTAACATCTATTTAATTTTTAACATCAGATATTCACTTTGTAGAACATGTGTGTAATAATGGAAAAATCCCAGAATTGATGAGCACTATTAAAATGACAAGCTAAATCTTACACGACATAAAATACTGCCTCTATAGTTTACTGGTTTTGCACTGCTATTTGCTATGAGCAGGACAGCAGATTTATATTCACTGTATTCTTCATAATTCTTCATTCAAGTCTTTTTCAGGAAAATCTGCACAGCCAAAAATAGACACTAACTGGTCTCCAGCAGATCAACCAATCCCTTGATCTCGTATAATATAAATTAGCTGATAAGATTTATGAAAAATATTTTATATTTTAATGAAAAGGAATATTTTATTGAAATATTTACATTTACTCCAAGCATTTTTCCTGAAATTTTTTTCAAACTACTTCAATCCAAACACTTTTCCTTATAGATGATATCTTAGCTTTATCCAGGTTTTTTTTCTTTCAAAAAGAGATTTCATTTCATTATAAAACTGCAACACGGGTGATAGTGGATAAGAACACAAATCCAGTTCTTTTCCATTTATTTTTTTGTTCCCTTTGGAGTTGATTTTAATTAAACAGAATCCAGTCACTTTCTGTTATTATAAACAGAATACCCATCACGTTAGATGAAAACACTACAATTTTAAACACACTATTTCAAGTATCATTTAATGCACTACATTAGTACTTACCCACATTGATCGCCCAGCCTCTCTCAACAGCAAGTTTTCCTGCCTTAAGAAAAATCACAGGGAGAACTTCATGAATGAACAAGGCAACCACTTAACACAGTCTGCTTCCACCCCAGATGCAGCTCTTGGTATTTGGACATGCCCACTGCATTTTCGGATGTTTTACCACTGCAGGTCATTCTTAATCAGATCTCTGAGTAAGAGCTGTACAAAACAATCCTCAGCACAATTAGTTGAAAAAAATATTTGATCTCTCATCTGTGTTTCATTCTCGGGCAGTTGAGCAGATCTAAAACTAACTGTGCTTTGCAGAGATGCACACTGACCCCAGCAGACAAACGAAAAAGGGGAAGTACAATTGTGGGTCAGAGTAAAAAGTGAGCCAGAATCTCCTAATACCCTTCCTGTTTCTGTAAAAATAGGAGGAATCTAAGATCAAAATCCTGCAAATACACATTAACATAGTTTCAGCCAGGGGCAGGGACAGAAAAATACTACAGCATGAAATATCCTGTGACTTTTTTTTTTTAATGATATAACATTCACGGTATAGAGTATCACTAATCTTTTCCCGTCCAAGATAGAAAAACTGTGCGTGTATCTCTCCTTTGAACTCAAATGAAATTCAGGGAAGGGAAAGTATTGACAGAGAAGAGATATATAAGGCTTAAATGATGACATTTTAATTGAAAAACCTGACTTATTTTGGGCAGGAAGAGTTAAGCAAGTGTTTAACTGCAGTACTCCTTAAGTGTCTCATTAAAAAAAGGAAGATACTGCTAGCCTAAAAAAAAAAAAAAAAAAAAAAAAAAGAGAGGGGAAAAAAGTAAAAACAGATTATCCTTTTCCCCAATCACAGAAAGAACATATTACACATCATACATGAAAGGACATTTGGACAGTTGAGAGTTCTTCACCACCAATATTTATATTTGAACAGTTCTAATTTAGTACTAAAAAACTACAGGGCAGGTAAACATCATCCTGTTATGAATGTGCTAACTTATACAAATTAGATCTTGAGAAACAATTGCAGTTTCTGAACTATAAAACCCATTAAGTCACAGGGAAAGCACATTTTCTGTGATTCAGCTTACTTCCTAGGGATTCCTCACCAAAAAAGAATCTTCCCATATTGCTAAAAAAAAAACATTTAAAAGTACAGAATCTCAACAGGAATTTTCATGATAAACAGGACCATCAGGTATAGCAGAAGATTGTACTTCTGACTTGTACTGTATAAATTTTATTGTCTGATGAATCAAAACTGCTTTTAAAGTACATAGCTATTTCCCCATAATGAAAAATAAAAAAGATAAAAATAACAGTATCTGGCATCCAGATCAATCTAAAAGTGACCAGTGATGTTATCCATATTTCAGGAGGCATGATACAAAGACATAATAGACAACTAGTGGCTGTCTCTTCTACATGACCATATTTATAACTACTGAACACACATTTATGAATTCAAGATGACACAAGCACAGTGAAAAACATCACAAAAGTTTATAAGAGTATTGACTAGTTAGAACCAAGTTGAAATAGATTTCATACACGCATACTGTCAAGACCCTCAAGAAATACAAATGTAGACTATTAGGAAACTCTAGACTCTTCCCAGATATTTTTTCTCTTCTACCATTTCCTTCACTCCTCATAACTGTTGTGCAGAAAGACAGCATGGCTTGAATCAGAGAAGACTCCGCATGATCCTATTCAGACAGGACTCTGCAGACCAAAACCCCTCATCTCAGCAACCACTGCTGTCTGCACTCAGAATCACAGCACAGAAAAGAGAACTGACCAGGAGTCCTGAAGTGACACTGAAGGACTAAATGGAGACAGAAGCACCTTGAGCTACATGGACCACATGAAATGAGAATTCTTTCTCTCTACTACTACCCAGTCTATAATATCAGGTTTAAAAAAACAAGTCAAACTACCCCCAAACTTCCCAGCAGCCCACTGAAAGCAAGACGACTACACAGGTATCAGCAAAACCAGTTTGGTGCTACCTCCAGCTCCTGCTGGTCACTTGCCAGGAGACACGAGTTGCAGGTGGTTTATGCAGGTTTACATTAGGGAGCTGCATGATGTTCCAGTTCTATCATCTCTGCTTTTGCTAGTTAACGCCTACTAAAGCGGGCAGCACTTTCTGTTATCTAGCCTATTACCACAGCCTAGTAAGTCTAATGATTTATCCAGAACCTAGCACGTTCTTTCCAAACTCATATACTTAAAACTGTCCTTAAAGGCTGGTTTAACCTTTTCAGTAGATTATCTGGTTTTGTTGTGCTTATGCAGACTTTCAGAGTTCAACAAAAGCATCAGACATCGCTATGCTGTACAACTTTCACTTATTTCCTTACCTCACTATTCTTTGACTTTAAATAACACATACGTCCAAGAAGTCAGAGCAACAGAAGAGAATAAAAGTAAAATTAGGAAATGGGATTTAAGAGGTGAGAACAACAATAGTTGGAGAAACAGAGTCCAAGGTGGGCAAGATACATACAACTCTTTTTTTATAAAAGAAACCCATTTCCCCCTCACCAGCCTGAATTAAAACCAGACTCGGCAACCTGCAAGGATACTTAAACATGGTAAATGTCACAGGACTCACTACTGTCCTAATGATTTAGGAAGAAACCACCGGCCATTTGTATTCAACAAGGTTAGACCAATAAACAGCAGTTAACTCACTTCACACTAACAATTTCAGCACCAAGGAGGTAACTTTCCCTCCATTATCCCCATGTTCAAAAACTTACTGGAACTCTTCCTTTGCTGCTACTCTGCTATGATTATAATTCTCACCTTTTCCTCCAATCATAACCAAGCTTTTTCCGAACACATGCATATCGATACATTTTTCAACTACTCTGAGTACTTCACAGTATCATGAACAGTAAACCCAACATTCCCCATTATAATAATAAAACGCACCAGTTTGCAACACAGCTCAAACACGGTGATATACTCAGACTTTCTGAAAAGCTCCAGATTTTTAAGTAGCTATGACCAATTTGGATATTACACAGGGAGTTAAGATGACATGCTTCAAACAATTAAATCACACTATTAGAAGATGTTTCTGAATCTTAACAGTAGATATTTAAGGGCAGTCACAAGTTGTCCAGTCCATTCTACTTCTTTCTCTATTACCTTTTGGTGACAAAACACAACTACTGGCGCAGAGTTACTTTTACATACACACTTGCAAATCCAGCAGCTGGATGGGACACAGATTTAACAATAGAATACTCAAATACTGAAAGGAATTGCCATGGTTTTTCCCAATAAAGAATCAGGCATTGAGTAGTTCTATCACTAAAAAAGTAAATACAACAGAAAGGCAGACTATTTCATCTTGCCTTAAAATCTGATAACAACTAGCTCTCTACTTTCATTTCACATCGTAAAACCCAAGACAGCTGAAACTTAATAGTGCCCAGATCCAGTTACACACTCAAATGATGGTAGCAACAGTTAATAGCATGTCAGCCCCACAAAATTAAAGAAAACTTAGAGAACTGCTTCACCAAACTTTTGGGCTCACTCACATCGTTCTCATAGGTCAGACTCACAAACAGATTCAATCTTTTTCAGTCTCTGAAAACTGTACTGCACTGCCTCTTACGCACTAATCATAGAAGAGATCTTTCTATTATTTATGTCTTTAATGAATTCTTAACATTCATGAAGGCAAGAATTTAAAAATAAGAAACCTTGATTCCAGTGCAGATTACTAAGTACCTACATTTCTGTTGACAGAAATGGGAAGCTACCTATTGGCCTACTTCTGAAAATAATGCCATTACTTTACCATTCATTTATGGCTTCCCAGTCTCACTCACCTTTAGTATCTAGTAGTAGCAATAATCGTATTCTCATATCTGGCACAGACCTACTCTGAACGGTTTGCCAACCCACAGAACAGTGTTCTTTAGTAACTGGCTTCAAACAGGTACAGAAAAAGCAATATGGGCTTCTATCCTTTTCATGTGCACCCACTGTCACAGCTACCTTCAGGCAGCAAAGATCTATTTGTTCCATAGTATTAATGGCTTCAGATCAGATTATTTGTCTTCCATTTATGTAACTGTTACAGCTCAATGCCTGCAAAGAGGGATTTGGACTGTTACTGTCTTCTCCCAGCACCATGATGTATTGTTTCTGAACTCTAGCCCTAATATGACAAACAATGATAAAAAGGGCAGAAAATGTTCCATTAGATATTAGTTTACAATTATGAAGGCATCTTTTCCCCAATACATAGTTTAAATAACTCATTCTTGACTCCAGCTATTAACTGTTTTCGTTCTTCCTATTTCCTCAACATCTCTATGGCAATTCTCAGGCAAAATTAAATGTCTGGCAACACTTAAACAGCTTTTCTAACCAGAGCACTCATTTAACTAATTAGGAAACAGTTTTGTTAAGGTGAAACAGACTATGTCTCACTTGAGTTCAGCTGAGCTGCTTATGTAGTACCTACAATAGAAAAAGTAGATAAACTAACTTTAATCATTAAAACGAGCAAGGTGACATGATTTTTAAACACTTAGTCTCATGAGCAACCGAATCATACATCTCTTCCTGTACCATACCATAGTACTGGTAACGATGTGCTTTAAAAAGAGCTTCTATATCATCAATTATGAGACCTCCCATACCTAGAATTTGTCTGTATTTGAACACTGTTCAAAACTAATTCAGTCTCTGTATTTGCCGTAAGTCCTGCCACATCTATATCACTGCTTGCTCAGGCTGCCCCTTACTGTCTCTTCCACCTCTGCAAATTATAGACCACAAAATTAGGTATGCCCTTCGCCTTGGTAGCTGCTAACAAACAGCAAACTTTGATCATGTTTAGGACTAACTCACTTCTCTCTACAGGCCGCCAGGGCTCAAGCCTTTGAGTTATACAAAATATTACAACTCACAGGTTTATAGTGTTTTGATCAACAACTTTAAATACAACACAAGTGTATCAAGATCACCTTACCATTATTGTTCCTCCTGTCTGGGTTCGTAGAGGTTTCAAAACTTTTCTCTGAACAACAAAATTGGGAAGAAAGGCAACTGGTGGAATTTCTGTGATTGTAGCCACAACAAATGACCACTGTAAAGGAGGGGGGAAAAAATTCCAATTAATGTAGCCTGTCTTAATGATGACATTTAGATCTCTCATCAGTTGCTATATAAAATGAGCTCACAGGTCCATAGCAAGATTTTTAATCTTTTTAGATGGTGACCACAACAGTCCTTATTAGTAACCTCCAAATAGGTTCATCCTCAAGTTGTTAGCTATGAGAATCGTCACTATGAATCACTATCGTTAGGTTTTTCAGATTTTACTATCAAATGGTAGTAAATCAGCAATTTTTCAACAAGCTAGTATTTCAGAAAATCTAATATCCCTGGGATTGGGAGGAAGAATTGTAAAATGTCTTTCAGCAGTATTAATAGCAAGCAACGCTTGATATATTGTTCAAACCTAAAATATCTTTTCCTGTGTCAGGTCAAAAGGATATATCAAGGAGAAAGGAAAAACAAACAAACAGACAAACCAAATAAGAAAGTTCAATACTTAAATGAACACACAGTGCAAATTTTAGCATGGAGAACTTATTAAAATTTATTTAGCATATTAAACACTTCTGCAAAATGTTTCAAGGAAACATTTTGTTAAAAAGTCCTATCATCAAAAATATGATTTGAAGGTTAGAACACAACATATTTGCAATGTGTAAATGCTTTTTTATAAACACAAATAGATGACTTCGAAGAACTTCTACTAACATTGCTACCAGCAATATCACTTCCAATATATTTCAAAAGCCTAAGTCACAAGCAAGAATACACCCCTTCATCCAATACTGAAACATTCAGGTACTAAGAATGATGAATTTGACACCCTCTACAAGGATTCTAAATAGATCCTATTTTCTTCACTTCAGGAAATCTAACTAGATTCAGTACATTTGTTCCTCAATTACTGTTAGCTGTCTGTTGAAAATGATAGAATGTACAAGCAGACAATTTCAACCAAAGACAATCATACACCCACTTCATGGTCCTCTGATACTCAAAAAAAAGCTACTTTGGCTTCCCAGTTATCAATGTTTCAACTACGAAGTACTACTGGGTGGGGTGGAGGGGTGGCAATATTCACAAAGTTCTTAAGTACCAACTGTATTTTGTCAAGAGTTCATTTGAAACTCTTACTGCTTTTATGTTTGTAAGACATTATTCTGTTACCATACTATCAGCTTTCCATCATTAATAAAGTGCTTTAATTATTTTGTAATACAGCCAATCTTGATAAAGTCCATTTGCAAGACACTTTAGCTTCTAAACAAGCATATTGTAAAAAACTGGATTCGAACCTGTTGCTCTAAAATGCAACTGGATGGGTCACAACTGGGTATAATAAACTTTGGTTTCAAATTTGAAGGATGATCACAAAATTTCAGAAAGTTTTAAACACAGTTTAAAAACATTTTAATCTCAACGGGAAAAAAGTGGGAGCCATAAAGACTCAAATCAACACGTATGCTGCACCGGGGTTTAAGTGAATATAAAGAATCCGTATATGGTATGAGCAGAGTAAGCAAAGCTTTCTATTCGCAGCTGAGCACATCTACAGAACAGTGTCAAGCCCAAAAACATTCACTGCTTCAGACTCAGTCCTTGACTGCATTTATGTAAGTCCTAACATATGGGGGAAAAGTCATTTGACTGTGACGAAAGTCTTGGGATTCAAGAATTCAGCTAGAGACTAATAAAAAAGCTTCTCAAAAAGCACCACCAATAATTGAGAAATATATTGCCTCAAACTGCAGGCAGTTCTGCACTTTTTTTTCTTCAACGTGCTAATTTTGTTTTCCTACATTTCCTGCCATGTTCTTCAGAACAGCTATGTATATACTCAGAAAATAAATCAAAAGGAATTGGTTTTATATAGTTGTATACCTTTTCCCTGCTGTAAAAAATTATTTTGAATAGATGAGGACTACATTAATTACATTTTCCAGGCTGTCGGTGGGCTTCCATAACACGTCTTCACACCTACTAGTTTCCTTTCATAGAGAACAAACCCTTCAAATTTTTAAATCTATTTTTTTAAAATCACTATTTTTTGCATTCAAACTGCATATATCAGAATAAGATCAGTTACTATTTCTTTTGGTAATACTTGCTCTCACTCAGCCATCTTCAAATTACTGATTCTCTAGTAAAGTTTTGTAGACATGTAGTTACACAACAGACATTAAAACTTGGTCTGCATTCAGGGAAGACTGAGAAGCATATAAACAGTATTCAATAAGATGCTTTCACTTAGTCTTTTTAGTTATCAACTCCACTTAACTTTCTTTATTTCTATTGCTAGTATTGTAAGATTTTTAAAAATGATTTGTCTTCCTATGTTTTGGATAAGTAATTCAAGGTATGAATTTAAGTTTCAGTTTTAAAAAAGTTTCACCCTGTCTTCTTAAAAGGAGTAAAGAAGTCAGGTTAACCCTTAACTAGGTGTATTTTCCTTTAATATGTGCCTCCTACCAAATTAACGGCTAGGCAGTATCATTAAATGCAGGTAAGTAACACTATACCAAGATGTTACATCCAAAAAAAAAAACCAACCCAAAACAAAACAGAAAACACACACAACTTGAAGAGTTCTTGAATCTTCCTTGCTTAAGCCTGAACTCTATAATAACATATACACATAATGAGGATATTCTTGCCGGACTCTATTTATAAAGTATCATTAACTTTAATTCCTTAACTAAAACCTCTTCTCAGTAAGGCTAAATGACTTCACAAATAATTTCAAATTACTGGTGTTCAAGGACTAAAAGTTAAACTGAAAAACTAGTATTACGAAGATAAAGCTAAAGCAATTGCTTCTATGCTGATACATCCCAGATTAATGCAAATAGCACATTAATGATCAAACCCACCCCCTGATGTGCTGCCTTTTATGTTATGCAACCTTTGCATTCCAGCATTTTCAAATAGCCAACACCACAGCAAATTTTTTTTAAATATGTAATTTTGTTCTTTAATATCTAAATTTAAACTGTGTTTAAATCTTTGATAAGTTCCTGGAGCTAGTCCCAGCTTCAAGGGAAAATTCATAGACTTACAAACCCAACACGAAGCAACTAACATGATTTTGTATTTAGAAGTTCGCCTGGGGCAAAGCTATTTGGGTCTATCTTTAATAGATAAAGAAAGTATGGGTTTAGCTGGAATTAACTTAAGATAAAATCATAAAGGAGAGCAGGAAGCTTGTAACTGTCACAGAAGTTTCCACCTCCAGGTGTGAAAGCACTATTATCACTAGGAATAAGATACTGCACTGGTAGAAACTGCTGATAGCCAGGCAACACACCCAAGAAAACCAACCAGCCAAAAACAATTTTAGTGCACCAGTCTCTCAACCAACAAGTTGGACATAGTAAAAGGAAAGAAACAAATCACTGTTAACCAAATGCTACCTTATCCTTAAGAGGTTTACTAGTTGCTTTAGGTGCAAAGATTGCCCTACAGCATTTGCGCAGCGGTGTAAAAACTGAAACCTGTCAGACCTTGTTCCCTCTGACTCTTGTTCAGTGTTTTCTCCAAACACAATTTCTTCATATATTTCTACAGACCTTTATCTGACACACTAATATTTACATGAAAGTGTAGTTAAAGGGGTTAAATTCATTATCTGCTCTCATGACCTTTTAAATGAACATTTTACAGCAAACCACCACTCGCCTTCAAAAATTTTCCACCAATGAAGGTTGAGCAAGGAAAAAAAAGCACAGCGTAGGGATAACAGCACAAGAACTGCATGAACTGAGGAACTGGACAGGGGAATTCTAAGCACTTCTGAAGGTGCCCATCTTATCCAAACCAAAGCCACATTTCCAACTGCCGAGTAGCCCATGGTCACTATCGCAATGCACACAGCCCAAGATGCTGTCTGTGCTCATTTATCTGAGCACCTAAACCAGCCAGAAGTCTCACAGGCAGAAACTATTACTTCATGAGCCTGCTTCTACCGCCTTCATTCCTGAGAGCCCTACCACCTTCCCAAGGCACGCTGCCAACACCACCATGCGACAAAGAGGCAGGTACCTCTGGTCTCTCAGCAGATGTGCTCACCTGACCAGGCAAGAATCAAAGCACACAAGCCCTTGAGCATCAAACATTCCCTATCATCACGTCAATCCACTTTTCACTAACCATAAAAATTTACATTTCTAATAGTGATGAACTTTTTAATTTTAAACCTACATAATTTCCAAATAAATAAACCAGATTAAAATTTATAAGTTCAATTGATCAGTCACTCGTTTCAGATCACTTTCGGAAAAGCACATTTAGCATTCCACTGATGCACAAGCATTATCCTCAGCATTTGCATTTCAGCATTCCTTCACATGAGTTATCATAGAACTTCTCATACACAAAAATGGTTCAAGTGAAAGACTTATATGGTCTGAAACTAGCTTTAACCTCATTGCCTATTTCCTTCCAAAATTTCAGGAAAGAAATATGCAGGAAATTCATTATCTTACATAACACCAGAAAAAGGCAGTTAAATGCAAAAGTACCGCACACAAATATCCGAAGTCCAGCCATTACTTTAGACATCTAAACTCTTCAAAGGAATAACTGAGGGGGAAATCACCTCAATTCAGAAAGCCAGATTTTACTGTAAGGACTAGTTATGTTACCTGAAGCAGGGAAACAGGGAAACCCTTCCTTCCAACACAGAACTAATCTCCAGTACTATCTAATCTGCTTTATGCATAGCATTTTGTTTCTCTTCAACCAATCCCCAGCCAGCTGCTTCAGCTGCTGCTAAGATACCAAACACCACCTCTTCTTGCAAGTGTATGGAATTTCCTACCAAACTCGTGCTCAAATTTTGAAGAATACTGAAGTGATCCATGATTTTAAGGGACTAGGCATTCCCAGAAACACAAGCACCTTTGTAGTATTCACAGCTGATCTAACATAGAACTATGCCATGGATTGGTAGATCTGTTTTTGTCTGGATTAAAAAAGCACAGCAGACTTTGGATAAGGCAATACAGAGGATATCCATGGCCTTTTCACATCTAGCCACATTATTTTTCGTTTGCAACTAAGCATTTATCTTTGCTGTTTGGCAGGAATTTGCTGACATGACAATATAACCTCTTCCAGTTGCAGGAAATACTCTCTCAAGAAAAGGAGAACAAGAGATACAGAGCTAATCACATCCAAATGCACACGACAGTACCGGTCTTGAACACCAAGACAAAAGCTATACAGACAATTCCCTGTGAAGCCATCCTGTAGGTACTAAAAATATCATTATGATATTCCAAACTGAGCTATGCACATTACAGCCTGCTTCAAAGAAGTGATTCAGTAAAGAGAGGTGGGTGGTTCTACGGAATTGAAAGCTCAGTATCAAGAAGAGCTGCAATAAGATCAAATCTAATGATGTATGAAATTCCATGTAACTTGACAACAACACAGAATGAAGAAGCTTAAGAGAAATCAGTAAAGGAGTAAGAGTGAAAAAAGTTCACACAAATAATAAATCCCTTACACAGAAAAATAAAACATTCCAGAAATAGCAATACGAGGACTCTTTCACTGTGGAAGGGCAAAGTTGACTCAAAGTAACTTCTTTTGAATTATGAAATGGAAGATTATTTGTCATAGAAATCCCCTCTCTGCCCTCCAAGCGAAGAGTTGCAAAATAAAAGCAACGTGACCTGTGCTCATCTATCCAATTCCACCTGCAGATGACAATATATTCAGCAATAGAGATCTCACGTGTTTATGTTTTAAAGTTACATTGAAGTTTAACAAATAGCTGTTTCATTAAAAAATACCCAATGAATGCTGTGAACACATAATCCTGTACGAGCTGGTATTGGAAACCTTCACACAGAGATAACATGCAAGGTTATGCCCCTACGTTGATCTTATAACTCTCTCCACATTCCACTGATATAGTGTCCAAGTATGACACCAGTACTTCCCCCTGCAACACACTGACAACAGAACCCCTACATGGATGCTCTTTGAGGTTACATAAACTCCAAACCCATAAAGCAATCCTTGCATTAAAAAACATCCAGCAAAGTACTCCATACGAAACACACAGCAATGTGTTTTCGATTTCAGAACCATATTTTACTAGAATAAATCAAAACTTACACTTTTGAAGACTAAAACCCTGGTACTAAGAAGAATATTATTTTGTATCTCAAACATTAAAATTTTCCTTACTTTATTTAACTTTCCTGAAATGTCATTTCAGGCAATCTATATAACATGGCAGACCCTTTTTGCCTTCTGCCCCTGCCCCTCTACAGTGTGAATTGCCTACTACTTCTGTTTTTCTTTCAGTATTCTCAATGACAATGTTATCAATGTTATCAAAATATACCATTCTATAATCCATAAAAGTTGGTTCTATAACAAATCTAGTAGGATATCTGTTGCCTTTGACACTAATTCTAGACAGTTTGCTTGAAAAACACATTATAAATACAGCACCTTTAATTTATTAAGGTAGCGCCTTGTGTGAACAACCAAGAGATCTTCATCAGCAGCTTCCCGTGCCTGTACAATCAAGTCATCTGCAATTAGTTTTTCTTCTGAAACAGGAGAGAAATAACAATTGGCATTGTATACCATTGCTTAACTTCCCATATTCCACCCTGCCAAAGAAGCTACTTTGTTTTGGTGATTTACATTACAGATTAAGTTAATTGCGCCAAGGTCAACTTCCATTGACTCACTATTTACAAATTTTCCAAATACATACCCTCTATACATGTAATCTGTCAGGTAGTGTGTATGTGATAAATTTAGTACAATCTATTTAGGTAGTGTATGTGTGATAAATATTGTTTACAGAAAGTTTTCAGTGTGCAATCATGCTAACTTCTTGTTTAAACTGGAATAAAAGATAGTTAGTGACAGAGGATGGACAGACAAAAGAATCACAAGACTCCTCACAGTTTAGAGTTTGACACACTGGGGAAATTCTGGCACTCATACCATCAAATATTCATCGTTTTTTAACATGCTTTAAGAAATTGCACAGTTGATACTAGTATTTAATTTCCTAAATCAGAGAAGAATTAGAAAAATCAAAATTCAAAAGAAAATAATTGCTTGGATGTTCATGGAAGGGAACACTTAATTAGGATATTTTCTGTCGCATCCCTACCTCCATTTACCTTCAAGAAACACCAATGACCACCTATTAATTCTTCTCCTTAAAATCCAAAAGATAGTTTATTTTAAAACCTAGTTCTATAAGAGCAAGATACAAAATATCACTCCAAGATTTCAGAATGTGATCAAAGATAATATTTTTGAATGCACACATCTGGATATACTTGCCAGAAAGTTCAAGCTGGGGTCAACTAAAAGAGCCAAGCAGTGCAGAAAAAGTGCTGCTTTGCCTATGTTCACTACAAACAACAAAGATATGGTACCACACTGATCTTCCCAGACAAATTTTGATATTTAACTGCTGCACGGCTGCAGCCTTCTAAGACTGTACCTTTTCTCCAATTTTATACTCACAAATGTAAGAGATTTTATTCTAAGAGTTACACAAGAGCAGCACCTGCAACAATATTTGTTTTGGCAAGCTCATGTTTTTCCTGGCTTAAGAAACATTTCATTCATTCATTCGTTGGTGTCAGACAGAAAGCCAAAGTGCTAACAGTTTCATTCTTGAGGAAGGAGAAGGTAAGAGTAGAAGGACTTTCACTGGTGATTTTCTAGAAAATGATAGGGAAAAGTGCAGGTCAGCTGTTGCCAGGAGGTGCTGCAGAGCCAGAAAAAAAAGCAAGAGCTCCCTGAGGTATTCTGTGGCTCCTTTCTCCTTTACAAAGCAAGGAGACTAAAAGGATTGGCAAAACTAATTTTCTGTGAAAGACAGAGTAAAAAGTGGACGCTTCACCAGAGAAGAACTAGAGGAAAAGACTTCACACAGAGAAGGAGCAGAAAGGCAAAGGTTTTGATTAACAGAGAAAACTGTCGTCGAACTCAAGACTTCACTATTTAAGGTTGTAGAGGGAAGATCCAAAATTCAGCTACTAAATGGAGTGTTAGAATTCACTGAAACAAGGTCAAATGAATACAAAGCAGCCTAAAGTCAGAAGGGCAATACTTAACTGCAAAAGATAATTAGCTGAAGAAGTCATTAGGACCACATAAATAGAAGAGGCCTGGCTCTCGGACAACCTTGTCTTGGCAAGAAAAAAAGCTTTTTTTTTTTTTTAACTTGATGAGTAAGCTTAAACTGTAGATGAAGCGATGTCAAGATTTTGTAGGCCCTGATCCTAACCTTGGTTCTTACATTTCTATTTCCTTAATGTATCTCTGCCTGTATCCTCCAATCTGTTTAAACAGCAATAATGAGCACCATCACAAAAGTTCTGTCACCAGAGGTGTCTCAAAGCTCTTCCCAAATATCATCAGAATAATATCATAAAGTTAATATCCAAGCTGCACATATCTTCCAGCCTGAAAAGCGCCGTTTGCCAGTCGACTGTCTGCAGTCTACATTGAATAATGAAGTTACACCCTGCAGCAAGGCGGTCATTAACACCTGCAGTTTCACAAGCCCCAAGGAATGAATGCCCCAGTTCTTGCCACACCAGGTGCAAACCAATGGAAACACCAGGCTACAGGAAGCTATACAGAGTAATCTCAAACTGCAATTCGGGTCTTGCAAGCCGAACTGTTTGTAAACTGGCAGCTAACATAGGAAGCATTTCCCATTCATTGCTATGAAACTGAAGTCTGCTTCTGCTTGAGATCCAGGCCTGGTCTTCAAAAGAAAGAAACTGGAACTGCAAACAGCACCTATCCTCAAGAGTAAACTTAAAGGAAATACTGTTCTCATAATAAAACTGAAAGAAAGTGTTTGAATCATTAAAAATCTGCTCAGTATCAAAACACGGCACACTGAGCTACGTCCACAAGGCACCAGCATTCTGCACCTAACCCAGGCTACACTGAAAGTCAAGATTCTAGTGCTTACTTCAGAGGTGGAAACAGTTCTCAAATATCCCACATGAGTGTTTCTTGTAAAGGCCAAGCAATGAAGTTCTGCTTACTTCATGCTTTCCTTCAAATCACAAAGACCAGAAACATTTTAAGACCGTCGAAGACATAGCTATGCTCATGTTTCTCCTTCCTCCCTCTTACAGTCTTGTAAAGCTCTGGGCCAGACTGAAATGAAGCAGGCTAGTTACTCTGACCAGTATTATTCATGCCTCTGGGGTGAGCAAATCATTTAATGAGCTTGAATTTTCAATCACATTTCATGAGTTCACTCTGCACAGACACCATGACTGAGCTGAAGCCAGAACTGTGGGTTTATTTAGTGGAGTGGGATAGAAAATACATTTTCAAAGGACTGTGAAACAAACCTATGTATTGAAAAGCCCTGGTGTAGGACGTTTGTTCTAGCATTACAATGTCATCTTTTAAATACATCATAGGTAAGATCTTCAACAATGTGCAACACATGACATACAACCCACCTCAGAAATCCTACGATCAATTTAGCGTACTAAGATTTAAGTCTGCAAATATATAAAAATACTAAAGCACTCCAAATATGATTAAAGAGCATAGCTTAAATCTACACAATGAGCCATGAAGATGTACAGTCACTATTATATTGGCAATTATTAACACAAGTCTGCACTAACTACATAACTGTCATTAGCTCTTGTGCAAATATTGGTCTAAGAGGTACCTTCTGTTATTTTACCTTTCAAGAAATTGATTACTTTTCCCCATTTCCCTGCATCGAATGGATGCAGCTTCTCAAGTCCCATAAACGTGATGTTGTAGTCTGGAGAATATACGATAGGCCAGCATGCTGATGGAGGATCCTCATACAGCTCTGTTCTGTGAGGCCTTGAAAAGCAAAAAAACAAACTAGTCATCATTTTTAGCAATTATTTACAGAGTTCGATGTTTTCCACTAAACTCCCAAATTACAGTCCTTATTAACACCAACCTTACATTAGGAATGATTCCTGAAGATGCTATTTCCAACAGTTACTGAAGGAAACACTTGGTTGTTTAACTGCTCTTCAGCAGTAGGGCTGGGGAGAGTAACCCCTCACTTCCAACCAGTACAGTTAAACTCTTGAACTAACCAGTAGTGGGGGAAAAAAAAAAAAAAAGAACTGAAGACTGAAGAATGTATATTAACGAATCATGCATATGAAGTTCATTGCAGACATTAATTAATGGAAACAGCAGCCCCTCTCCCCTTGTCTTTCCAAGTCCATCAAGCAACACCTCTACCTTAGAAGGTGCATTTGGTTTTCCAGACATCACCTTCAACAAATACATTACTAGCCTCACATTTTAAAGTCTGTATCCAACCACAACTGAAAAAAAAAAAAAACAAAACAAACCTCCACACTGCTCCTAGACGTGATGCTTCTAACAATACAAGGTTGGCAAGACTTCCAGGATCCTTTCCTAGGAGCAAGAGATTCTTTTGTGACCCTCTCAGCAAGTAAAGGGGCTTGGTTTCGTATCTGCATAGCATACATCCGCAGGACACACTCTCAACTCTGATCTCATGCCTGTAGCCCTTAACCAATACTTCCCTATACCTCCCCTCCAGATTCTTGTATTCTCCAAATGCGAGGGGAGGCGGCACAGCCAGCCCAAAGCCCTCCTTCACAGCCCGTTCACAGAACATGTGTGTAACACCACGCTCTGCATTCACAAGTGCACGCAGAGTACTCAGTGGACACCTGTGTGCACACGTGGGTCAACAGGCAGGCCAAACGCTAAAGGTGACTCTGTGTTCACACTCAGCCTATTCCACCAGCTGTGGCCTCCCTTCTCCACCCCAAAGCCCGTGTTACTGAGTTACGCTGAGACCTCTTTTGCTCCCCAAAATTTAGCTGAAGTTTGCAAAAAGCTTCACAACCTCCTAAGCAAGACAGAAAGCTCTTTTGTCAGGTAATCAATACAAACAGAAACGCCCTTATTTCCAGCCTAAATATGCTCAAAAATGCCCTTTTAAAATCCAGTTAAAAACAAAACAAAACAAACACGAAGACAATGGAGGTTTTTCACCAGAGCCTGCAGTCCCGAGGCCCACACACCGCCCACAAACAGAGCTATGGGTCCCTCCCTCGCCCCACCCGGCAATACAAGGCGGCTTTAGGAAAAGGCAGTGTGCCGTGCCTGGCTCCTGTTCCTCTCCCCGCCTGCCAGCAGGGCCCGGGCCGGGCGGGGCCTGAGGGAAGGGGCCGATCGTCCGCCCGCTCCCAGCGGGCGCTCCCTCCCGGCGGCCCGCGCCCCACTTGCGGCGGGACACCGCACGCCCCAACCGGACGGGACAAGACGCACCGGCAACGGAACAGGTGCCCCCAGCGCCCACCGGGGGCGGGCTCTGACGCCGGTTTCAGGCAGTCGTAATAGCCCACCTACCGGGGCGGGCAGGGG